GGTCGATGACTGAGGTTGGTGTGAGGCAGGGGTGCACGATTTGCCACTGGAGGGCCCGATGCGAGGTTGGCATTATGTGCGCATATGTGGACCACGGGATGTCTGAAAGGTCTTCCAGTGGTACCGGGAAGTCCCGTTTCCACCAATTCTGGACCACCGGGGTCGATGACTGGGGTTGGTGTGCCTGTTTGTAGCTTCCTTTGACTGTATGTTGCCAGACCGGAGTGGGTTTGTGGCCTGGCCACTCCCACTCATCCGGGTCAAAAGGGAGCGCACAGATAGGAGAGGACATTTCGTACCCAAAATACCCCATGTCTTCGTTCCCCTCCACCCTGATTCTCGTCAGGGAATCTTCAGGATGTTGGCAGTCCAGTTTCTGGCTCCTTTTTAAATGAGTCCATTGAGCTCCTGGGATGTTCGGTTCGTACCCTTGGAGGCGAGTCCTGTTGCCCACCTTTTTGTGCACTCTGAAGATGGCTACGGTAATGGGGTTGGGATCATTTATTTTCACCCAATCCCTCTCTCATATGTTGGGGCCATGTTTTAGCACTGCGACCCATTTGAGCAGGGCCGCTTCTTGGATTTGCAGGAGTTTTTCTGGCAGATTGCGAATTCCTTTGAGCGTTGGTCCGAGTCGTTGTGTCGCGGCCCGTATGTTGTTTTCTATGTCCCAGAGGTCCCCAGGGTGGACACGCCTCTCTCGGCCCATATCCTCCAATGGGAGTTGCCCGATAGGGTAAAGGGTCAACCCGTCTCGTCGCAGATCTGCAGGTTCCCGAAGATTGGTTGCGCCATATTTCATGCCATCGAGGGGGGGAAAGGCTTCTTTGTTGGGCCCATCCCCCTCCAGAGGTGTATGATATTGGTCCAAAGGGGGTCGTGTTTGAGGTCCTATCTTACGTTGTTTCTGAGTGAGCCATCTCTCTTGTGTTTAGGGGGCGTCGGGATTGTCCAAGTCGGGTTCGTTAGCCACCTGAGCAGGTGGATCGGTTTGTCGATCGGGGAGGGGGGGGCGAGGTGGGATAGTTGGACGTACGCCAGTGGGAGCCATGACACATCGTTGGCGAGCAGGAGTCTGATGATCACCTTAAAAATAAGGGCTCTTATCTCATCCCCCGGGTCCAAAATACCCAACTCTCCCTTTTTTTTTGGTTGAGTGATGTACTTCCAAGCCACCCGCTTTATGCACTTTGTTTGGTTGTGGTCATTTTTCCGTAAATAGGCCACAACGGCCGCTCGTAATTGAGCCAGTTGCCTCTTTGGCATTTCCCAAAATGCAGTTTCATACTAGATTGAGGGCACGACTGTGTTGTTAATCGCGTGCGCCCTGCCAATTCTGCGAGGTATGTAGGCCCTCCCACTTGGCCAGTTTTCTGAGCGCCGTTTATACTAATTCCTGTCCATGGTCCTTCGGGGGACCGAGCGCCGTTAGTCTGATCCCGAGTACCGATATTGCATCTTCTTTGCTGCGCCAATTTACTTGGGGTCTTGAGGAGAGGGGGGACACCCTGTGTTACATGCAGCGCATGCACACACGGGCCATTTTGCAGGCCCGACGGCCATTTTACAGGTCCGACTGGATTCAGGCCAAAACCCTGGATTTCAGGCCGAAAGCCTGAAATTCAGGGCTTACAGGCCCCATTTCGGTTCAGGCCGAAAGCCTGACTTCCAGGGCCTATAGCCCCTGCGACGGTTCAGACTAAAAATGGTAATAGCATTTTTAGCCTGAACCCAAGGGCCATTTTTGGTCGTTCATCAGAACGACCGACCCTGAAACTCAGGCACCGAACCAGGGTTTTGGGAACATCCTATATTTGGACTGTTCCCACGCCTGCCTCAAGCAGGCTGCTGCACACCAGCCCCTGGCACACTTCGGCATTGGCAAGAGCTGCCTCCTCGGCCCGCTCGCCCTCCTCCAGTCAGGAGGCAGGCCGAGGAAGTACATAGGACTTCCCAGGCACTTCCGGGGAGGGAAGTTGGTAGTTGTAGTCTTCAGGAGTCGGGTGCAACACTCTGGAGGGAGCGCTGCGTTGTAGTAGTGGTAGCGTTAGCTAGTAGTCTTCAGCGTTGGGCGCAGTAGGTAGCTGTAGTCTCCAGCGCTGGGCGCCATAGCTAGGTAGTACTAGAGAGAGAGAGAGAGAGCTTGGGCGGAGGCCAGAAGTACCTACCTGCAGCGTCGTTGCTCCAGCTTCGTCTTCGAGGTGCCTGTAGCACAGCGCCAACATCACAGGTTAGTACTTGGTTCGTAACAGAGAGAGAGAGAGAGTTCTTCTTCTTCTTCTTCTCAGTCCACCATCTCTTCTCTCCCTCTCACTTCTGACTTCACTGCATCTGCAAACTATGAG